GTCCCAGAGTTGGAAGGCCCCAGAAGCAAGAGCTCTGATGTCTGAGGGCAGAAGAAGGTATACATCCCAGCTCAAAGAGAGAGAGAATTTGTACTTCCTCAATCTTTTCGTTCTATTTGGGCCTTCATGGGATTAGATGACGCCTGCCATATTTATGAGGGAAGATCTTTTCTTAGTCTACTGATTCAAATGCTAATCTCTTCCGGAAACACCCTGTCAGACATACTCAGAAAAAATGTTTTACCAGCTCTCTGGATACTCGATTAAAGCAACCCAAACTGGAGCTTGAGTCTCCAGTTCGTTAGAGTCAAGTTGAAGCTATTTTCACATTGCTGTATTGAAACGGAAGCAATGCCTTTCATGCTATTTAACACAAATCAGAATATTTTGGGTGAATTTAGACAAGCTGAGTAACAGCAGTTCTCATAGATCCAAAGATCCTCCCACATTTTCCTGTAAGGTAGAGGAAGTCATCAGAATTATTCTCTTATTATTGGGGAATGCTAGAAAGGAACTATAGAGCTCTCCATGCTTAAGGTTAATTACACACTGAGAACTATAGCTTGGGGAGATAATGGTCCACTAGCTCTCTCTAGGGAAGGCTTAGTTATGGATAAAATCACACATCAGCTTCCTGATCAGTTTCACAGTCCTACATCAGGGCTTCTCTTATATATGGTTGCATAATAAACAAAGGGTTCAGGGATGGACCCCCCTCTACCTACTAGCAAAAGTCACATCATACTACCATTACAGAGCCTTATTTAGGCATTGCTGTCTTTAAATGCAAATATAACAGAGTCTGACAAGCAGAAACTCTATTACTAAACAACACTCTAAAGGGATTATGTCTTATCTAAACCAGTGTTTTTCAAATTAAGAATCACCTGGGTTGGGAAGAGTGTTGTCAAGTCCACATTAAAAAATGTTTACCCTTAGTCTTATTTATTTAGAACTTACTGAAGAATTTCTCAAAATCTTAATTTTTAAAAACTCCTCACATGATTTTAATAAACGTGTACATGTGAAACACATTTTTTAGTAAAACTGGCCTTCACATTAGAATCACCTGGAGAAGTTAAAAAATAAATACAACTAATGTCTAGACTCCACATACCAAGATGCTGAGTCAATTTTTCTTTTTTTTTAATTTGTTTTTATTGGATTATAGTTGCTTTACAATGTTGTGTTAGTTTCTACTGTAGAGCAAAGTGAATCAGCTATATGTATACATATATCCTCTCTTTTTTGGATTTCCTTCCCATTTAGGTCAGCACAGAGCACTGAGTATAGAGTTCCCTGTGCTATATGGTAGGTTCTCAATAGTTAACTATTTTATACATAGTATTAATAGTTTATATATGTCAACCCCAATCTCCCAGTTCATCCCAACCCCCTTCCCCCCTTGGTAACCATACGTTTGTTCTCTACGTCTGTGTCTCTATTTCTGCTTTGCAAATAAGATCATCTATATCATTTTTCTACATTCTACATATATGTGTTAACATACAATATTTTTTTTTCTCTTTCTGACTTAACTTCACTCTGTATGATTCTCTGGGTCCATCCACGTCTCTACAAAGAACCTAATTTCGTTCCTTTTTATGGCTGAGTAATATTCCACTGTATATATGTACCACATTTTCCTTATCTGTTCCTCTCCTGATGGACATTTAAGTTGCTTCCATGTCCTGGCTATTGTAAACAGTGCTGCAATGAACACTGAGGTGCATGTATCTTTTTGAATTATGGTTTTCTCTGGCTATATGCCCAGTAGTGGGATTGCTGGGTCATATGGTAGTTCTATTTTTAGTTTTTTAAGGAACCTCTGTACTGTTCTCTATAGTGGCTGTATCAATTTACATTCCCACCAACAGTGCAAGAGGGTTCCTTTTTCTCCACACCCTCTCCAGCATTTACTGTTTGTAGATTTTTTGATGATGGCCATTCTAACCAGTGTGAGGTGATACCTCCTTGTAGTTTCGATTTGCATTTCTCTAATTAGTGATGTTGGTATCCTTTCATGTGTTTGCTGGCAATCTGTATATCTTCTTTGGAGAAATGTCTGTTTAGGTCTTCTGCCCATTTTTTGATTGGGTCATTTGTTTTTTTGATGTTGAGCTACATGAGCTGTTTGTATATTTTGGAGATTAATCCTTTGTCAGTTGCTTCGTTTGCAAATATTTTCTCCCATTCTGAGGGTTGTCTTTTCCTCTTGTTTATGGTTTCCTTTGTTGTGCAAAGGCTTTTAAGTTTAATTAGGTTCCATTTGTTTATTTTTATTTTCATTACTCTAGGAGGAGGGTCAAAAAAATCTTGCTGTGATTTATGTCAAAGAGTGTTCTGTCTACGTTTTCCTCTAAGAGTTTTATAGTGTCTGGTCTTACATTTAGGTCTTTAATCCATTTTTAGTTTATTTTTGTGTGTGGTGTTAGGGAGTGTTCTAATTTCTTTCTTTTTGAGTCAGTTTTTCTGAGATTGGTCCTGGTCATCAGTATTTCATAAAAACCCTCCATGTGATACTACAGTGAGGACAGGGCTAACAACTACTGATGTAGAATTGGAAAACTGATGTTCACAGCAACCTCATTAATTCCTACTGCTTACACCTGGCTTATCTCATTCACTTATATTACTCTCTTGGCCTTTAAATGTAACTGAGTCTACAACCTATAAATACTGAGCACTCTCTGCACTAGAAAGTGTAGCTGCTTGGAAGTAGAGATTTCAAAGACTAAAATCTAGGGAACTGAAATCAGGTTAGAGAGAGAGCGTTCATGCTGGTACATGCTGCTTTTTGAAGGGACCCAGATCGGGGCCTCCACCAAGGTAGTAGATGCTTATGGTACTTACTGAAGGGAGAGGAGCAGCTAGTGACAAGGAAGGACAACAAAAGTCAAAAGAGAGTGGAACAAACAAACAACAAAAAAAGAATTTATGCCTCTCTCTCTCTCTTTTTTTTTTTTTGCGATACGCATGCCTCTCACTGTTGTGGCCTCTCCTGTTGCAGAGCACAGGCTCCGGACGCGCAGGCTCAGCGGCCATGGCTCACGGGTCCAGCCGCTCCGCTGGATCTTCCCGGACATGTGGGATCTTCCCAGACAGGGGTACGAACCCGTGTCCCTTACATCGGTAAGCGGACTCTCAACCACTGCACCACCAGGGAAGCCCTATGCCTCTCTCTTGACAAAAAAAGTAGACCAAAATATTGCTTTGGGAAATCTTAGCAAAACGTATAGAACTTTTCAGGTTTGCCTTCAGTGGGACTATTTTGTTTGTTTGTTAAGTTTGATGAAGTCCTGGTTCTTTGTCCTTTCAGATGTTTTGGCCACCTCATGGCGTGAATGATTTGCTCAAGGCACTGATACACCAGTACAAGGGCAGGAAAAAAGCAACTGAATTCCTCCTAATCCAAGGGCTCAAAGCAGGACATTGAAGGATCAAGCCTGAGCATTACCCATAAGGGTGCAGGCCAGAAGCTTCCAAAATTCTTATTTATTTTTAATTTTTTAAAATTGAGATATAATTGACATGTAACATTGTATTAGTTTTAGGTGTACAACATAATGATTTGATATACGTATATACTGCAAAATGATTTTTTGGTAGTTTTAGGAAAGTATATCAAGAAACAACGGCACTCTCCTTAAAATTAACCCAATGGTCTTATCATTTAACTGCACATAAACATTTGAAAATCTTAACTATATCCCTAATTGAAACCAAACTCCTTAGCTTGGGAATCCAGTGCCCCTCCCACTTAAGTCCCAAATTATCTTCTTAGGCAACATCCCACCATTTTCTGTATGCTACTCTCTACTCATATTATTCAGATTTTTTTTGCGGTAAGCGGGCCTCTCACTGTTGTGGCCTCTCCCGTTGTGGAGCACAGGCTCCGGACGTGCAGGCCCAGCAGCCATGGCTCACGGGCCCAGCCGCTCCGTGGCATGTGGGATCCTCCCGGACCGGGGCACAAACCCGCGTCCCCTGCACCAGCAGGTGGACTCTCAACCACTGAGCCACCAGGGAATACCCCTCTATTCAGATGTTTTCTTGTCTCTGCACATTCACTCACACTGTCAGAGACCTATCTGTTCTTCAAACTACAGCAAAAATGTTCCTTCCTGCCCCAAACCTTCTTGACTTCCTCCTTCCTTGGAAGTAAATTGCAGAATATTTTATTTCTACTTCTCACTAACCTTATATTCTAAATTGTATGGTTTTGGAACATGTTTCAATATACAAAGATGTGAAGGCCAAATTGTTGAGAAATTTATATTTCTAAATTTACTTTGGCAGTCAATAGAGGAAAAAGAGATAGACTTGTTTAACTTATGTTTCTATTCTGCCTTATTTCCTTTGCTATCACCTGATATCTTTTCCATCATGAAGAGTTTCAGCAGATATTTTCCATTTTGTCAACTAGATTGAAGCCTAGCTTTGAATCTATTAAATACAGCTGTTGTCATTTGCTGTTCCTCAAGCCCAGACATGACAGACCTGTTATCATGTCAAAGTTCCAGAACTAAAATTTCATTTCACTTATTACAAGTGAAATCACAGAGTACAAGTTCCATATTTCCTATTATCATTTGAAGGGTAAGAATCTCCCTTCCTCTAATGTAATGTCTCTATAATGCAGGGTTTATTTGCTTCTTGGGGAGAATATTATTGAATCACATTCTTTGTTTGGGATTCTGTTTGTTTGTGTTTGTTTTTAATATTTTAATAGCTTTCTGTCATGTGATTGTGGGAATGACCCCCTTACCCCTCTAGCAATTCAAGTTCATAGTACCCCTAATTGTCTGATTACACTTCCTAGTGGAACACCTACATGATTCATATCTATTTGCATTTTCAAATTTAAAAGTACACTGTTTAGATAGTAGATATTACATATAAATAGAAAGTTTCATGGTGGCATAAACTAGGGTTGTTAAAACGCTTATGTCCTTGTTTTCATGTTGAATGTTGTTAAAAACATTTTAAATAAATCTTACAATTTGAGTATCGCACTCAGGGGTACTCAGATATTCTTCCTTTGTAGTCTCAACTTGAGAGCTCTCATGGGCTTCAGAAGTGGTTTGTTGAGCCTTGAGAGAGAAAGAGAGAGAACATTAAAAAAAGAGAGAAATAGATTCAACAGAGAGATCCTAGGACTACTGTAAAACATGATACAATGGCAACATCACACTCAAAGAAAAAGAATGAAATGAAAATTTATATGTATCAGAAACCTTAAAAACTGTACCTTAAATATTAACTGTGAAATTAAATAATTTCTATTCAATTTTATATTAGTGCTGTCCAATGGGATTATTTTCCCACTGGAAATATTTATTTCTTGCATAATAGGCCTTTATTTTAAGGATCCTGGTTCCTCAAAAACACAGGAATCCTATCGTTTCTCTTTATTTTAAACCCCAGTATATCTGGGAAATAATAAGCACACATCTTGTTTTTTTAATAGGAAATAAGATGTTTTCTAACATCTCACTGTAATTTACAAAAGAGAATTATATTCACTCCAATGCTTCACTAACCAAGTACTGTTTTATATCTCCAGAAACCCTAAATATTATTATAAATTTCTCTGTGCTACTTTCTACAAAGAAATGCCAATGCACACGATCCAAGTTAGGTCTTTGGAACCTTCATTCTTGAAATTAAATACTGACTAGATTAAAAAGAGGCCTTAAATAGGTACATTAGTTCCAGTAGGGTGACTTGCCCAAGTTGTTTCTACAATGAGACACTTCTTATGGTTCACATTCCCAGTCTTCTGAAGCACCCTCTGGTTCTGCTCATTCCCACCTCTGTTACTTCTGTCTTCTCCTGGATAGTATGAGCTCCTGATGTTCTATCATTAAAGCTCCTTCATTTAATTTGGTAAGGGTCAATGTTGATTGCTTGTAATCACAGAGACTTGAATGATACTGGGAGTCAATCAATAAAATAAAACTGACAGGGCTTCCCTGGTGGTGCTGTGGTTGAGGGTCCGCCTACCGATGCAGGGGACGCGGGTTCGTGCCCCCATCCGGGAGGATCCTGCGTGCAGCGGAGCAGCTGGGCCCGTGGGCCATGGCCGCTGGGCCTGCGCGTCTGGAGCCTGTGCTCCGCGATGGGAGAGGCCACAGCAGTGAGAGGCCCACGTACCGCAAAAAAAAATAAATAAATAAAAAATAAAACTGACGGTACAACATAAGGGCTGAGATAGAGGTTTGCCATTGAAACCAACAGGAGGGAAACCTAACCCAGCTAGGTAAGCTGTAAAAAATAACACCAGGTTCACCAATGATGGAGATTACATTTTAGAGTAGGTATTCAATATTTTCCTTAAAATATAAATTTGCCCATATTGATAAATGTTAATGTGTGCTTAATTATATTTTCTTATGCAAATATTGTGTATTTATGAAAATGCTCCCAGATTTTGGTGGTGAGACCTAGGTAAGAAATATGTGCAGAATAAAAGGTTTTATCTATCTGTTTATCTATCATCTATCTATCTGTCTGTCTATCTATCTATCTATCTATCATCTATCTACCTATTTTTGTAGGCCTTTGCTAGTTTGGACAAAATATAAAAGGGACTTCATTTACAATTAAGTTCAGAAAGAGCAGGGAGAAAAGAATGACAGTGCAACTTTACTCATCCATAAGTTTCCCAAAGGCTACCCTTGTGCTCATATATTAAAAAACTGGGGTGCCTGGTTTGTCAATTTCTACATCTATTTATGAAAGTGATCTCAACTCTGCTTCAGGGGAAAAAAATTACATATATTAATTACTTTTAACAACTGGAGGAAATTATACATCACTTCACCAATGTGAGCAACAACGCATGAAAAGTTAAATTACTTTAAATACAAAACCTTAGTATTTAATTGCAGAACTGGTTGCATTAAGCGTAATACATGCAATCCTTAATGTAGGCATTTGCTATCAGTGAAATGGCTCCTTTTATTTTATTTTATTTTATTATTTATTTATTTATTTTTGGCTGCGTTGGGTCTTCATTGCTGCGCGTGGGCTTTCTCTAGTTGTGGCGAGTGGGGGCTACTCTTCCTTGCAGTGTGCGGGCTTCACCTTGCAGTGGCTTCTCTTGTTGCTGAGCACAGGCTCCAGGCACAAGGGCTTCAGCAGTTGTGACTCCTGGGTTCTAGAGTAAAGGCTCAGTAGTTGTGGCACACGGGCTTAGCTGCTCTGCGGCATGTGGGATCTTCTCAGATCAGGGCTTGAACCCGTGTCCCCTGCATTGGCAGGCGGATTAACCACTGTGCCACCAGGGAAGCCCCAATGGCTCCTTTTAGAAAGAAGCTTATTGATCACATGCTTGCTGCAGTTCACAGATGGCTGCTAACATAGGTGGAAGCTACAAATACCCTCACACCTTATGAGGCTTTAAATATTATTCTACAAAACCACATTCCAAGATGTGAAACTCTGACGTCATTTTTAAGAAGGTAAAGTATGTGACACCAAAATATACCATTCTGCTCACATTTCTTCCTCTGACAGTAGCCTCAAGAAACCTCAGAAATCAGGCCTCCATAATGTCAGCTTCAAAGGTACGCCTGATAAAACTTTAAGCTCAATAACTTGTTGGGTAATCATTTGCTCCGCAAACAGTCATTTATCACCTACTCTATCGGTTAGTGGAAGGCGTAAATGAGGAAGGAAGGAGGACATAAAAATGAACAAACAGGATCTCTGTCTTTACAGAATCTATTATTATGGTGGAGTATAAAACAGACTTTTATCTAAATGTCACTTGTATGTTGGAAAAAAATGGAAAAAATCAGAAATAAGGAGATACATGGATCAACTGCAGTGTATATCTACAAGGAAATAATGTATAAAATAATTCAAATGAATTAAAAATTCAAATGAATTTTGCAATGAATTTTAAAGAAATGCATTACATCACTCATAAAATGTTAACCAATTGTGTCACCTTCCCTGAACAACTTAATATCTCTGTTCTTCAGTTTATTCATATGAAAAATGAGGATAATCCTGTATGATGGTGGATCCATGTCATGATACAACTTTCAGAACAAATAGAATTTGTAATACCAAGACTAAACCCTAATGTACACTGTGGACTTTGGGTGATTAAGATGTGTTAATGTAGGTTCATCAGCTGTAACAAATGCACCACTCTGGTGGGGGATGTTAATAATGGAGGAGGCTGTGGGTGTTAGGAGAGGAGATATGTGGGGACTCATACTTTCTGCTTAAATTTGCTGTGAACCTAAAACTGCTCTGAAAAACAAAGTCTATTTAAAGCAAAAAAATATATATAGTATTGAATTATAACCTAAAATCTAAAATAAATATCCACGAGTCCATGCTGATATAAATAAATGATTGAATCAATAAATAGAAGGACAAATAAATAGAAAGGACAAATATTTTTTACAGAAGAATTCTCAGTAACATATTAGACAGTCTCCTCTTCAGTAGGTGGAGAATAGGCTTCCCTTGAGTATAGGCTGAAATTAGTGATTCACTTCCAAAGAATAAGGTATGGAAAAGGACAAATACTAGCATTGTGGAGAAATCCGGCAGGCACCATCTTAACCAAGTGATGAGGGTTAACATCACCAATAATGTCATATATCCCTGGTATGATAATAAGAACACCGTGCCTCTGTGGTATTATTCACAAAAATCCATAACCCCCGTCTAAGTACAAAAACACATCAGACAGACCCACATTGGGGGACATTCTATAAAATATCTGGCCACTAGTCCTCAAAAGTGCCAAGGACATGAAATACAAGGAATGAAAAACTGTCAGACAAGAGGAGACTGAGACATGATGACTGAATGCAATGTGCTGCCCTGAATTGGATCCTGAAACAGAACAAGACGTTAGTAGAAAAGCTGGTGAAACCCAAGTTAGGTCTGTAGTTTGGTAACAGTATTATACCATTGCCAGTTTCTTAGTTTTGATAAATACCTCACAGCTATGTTTAGATGTTAACATTAAGGGATGTAAAGGATATACAGGAATTCTCTGTACTATTTTCTTAATGTTTTTCTAAGTTTTAAGTTATTTCAAAAGAAAAAGAAATATTTTAATGAGGATAATAAAAAGTCTTCCTTCTAGAGACCTGTGAGGATTAAATAAGTTCATAGGGGTATAGCACAACTCAATAAAAATGCCAGTTACTATTAGTATTATTACTATTAACATTATTTGCTAAAATTGTCCATGACAAATATGCATTAGTTTCATAATAAAATAATTAATGTATTATTATAAATGATTATTGTTGGGTGACCTTATGTCTATGAGCATATAAATACGACAAAGTATTGATACCATACATATGTTCAAAATAGGAGTTTATCTCAAAGCACAAGCAAATGGCTAAAAGTGAAAGAAAAAAAAAACCTAGGAAATCAGGCATAGTCTTACTGAATTTTTTTCACATATTTTAAAGTGGAAAATTAAAACATTTTATCTATTTTGTGCCAAAGAAATATTAAGCATGTGGAGAAGCTAGAGGAGGTCGTTTTGAACATCGTGGCAGTAAAAACTTAATGAAACTAGGGCCATGTTTCTGATTGTCTCAGTAGTGACGAAATGCAAACTGGAATCTTACTGGGCTGTTTCTGGCCTTCAGCAGCATCAGCAGGAGGGATGAGGAAGAAGTGAGGGCTGATACTTCAGGGAGATACAGGGACACCTTCTCAGTTGTGAAGAATGGCTCTGGGGCTTCCCTGGTTGCGCAGTGGTTGGGAGTCCGCCTGCCCATGCAGGGGACACGGGTTCGTGCCCCGGTCCGGGAAGATCCCACATGCCGCGGAGCGGCTGGTCTCGTGAGCCATGGCTGCTGGGCCTGCACGTCCGGAGCCTGTGCTCCACAACGGGAGAGGCCACAGCAGTGAGAGGCCCGCGTACGGCAAAAAAACCCAAAAAACAAAAAACAATGGCTCTAGATGGGGGCCCAATGTTTATAATGTCAGATTAGTGTGACAATTTTAGGCATAGCTGGGTAACTGTGTGGGGAGGTTGGTAGGAAGGGGTTTACATCAGTCAGATGAAACAGTATTACTGGGAGCAGGTAATAATGAAAGC